AGAACACCCCTCACTAAATAGGGGTGGTGGACTAAGACACAACTTGTCATCCATCTACAATCCTGTTTTGAGATCTCTGCCCAAACATGCCCACCAGGACAATAGGCGTCGGTCCACAGGGGAGGATTCAAAGACAGGTAATGACGCTTACTGATACTGGGCATAATGACTCAGTTGTTAAGGGACATTGTTGGCCATCAAAGGACTGAAACACCACTGAGGGGGATAAATATCTCCGGCTCAACACCAGTCAGTCAGAACTGATGAAGCCTCCTGGATGAGAGGTGAAATGTCTTCGACCTAGAAATCTAGTCCAGTTGATATTTTTCTAAGTTTTTTCAGCACTCCTCATATTAATACTCCCTCCTGTGACACCATCAGCAGCATTCTAGTGGGCCCCACATCACCAACCATCTAGATAAGTCTACCACCTACCTCTGCTCTCTGGTCCTCCTGGTTCCAGCCGTCCTCTTGCCAACTCACCTGTATGGCCCGGTCCTCTGGTCCTCCTGTTGCCTGCAGTCGTCTATCAACTTGCCTGCAGCCACTGGTCCTCTTGTCCTCCCGTTGCCTGCTGTCGCCTGTTGACTCCCCTGCACCTCCTGGTCCTCCTCAGGAGTCTGCCACCCGGCCTCACTCCACTGCACATCACAGATCTTGGATTCTGCTGGTACCTGCCCCGACCTCCTTCCACTCAGTCAACTCTTGCTTTAAGTTTAATAAACTTTATCCTTGTTCAGCTCCTTGGTAGTCTGCTATTTTGGGTCCTACTGTAACACATTTAGAGTTGACTTGGTTTATTTCTTTATGTTGCCAAGAAACAAAACCCTCAATCTGTATGAAGTAGTATCTGTATGAAAAGTAAATGGATCTTGAAAGTGGGAGGAGTTACTGAGAACATTTACTTACATAAAAAATTATTTAATTCTGCAATACAAAAACATGTCGTTACAAGTGACAGTTTCATAGCCATAATTATACTTAAGTGGACATACAGAACTATTAGCAGTAAAATGTACCTAAAATGTTGAAAGCAAACACACTCATTATTAGGCACATTGACTTTCAGAATGTTATTAGTGAATTATATTCACACAGTACCATGTAAGCATAATTTCAGTGTTGTTGCTAGATAAATTGAAACTAATTTTAACCACTTTCTACATTTTGTTTAATCTACAGTATATAATTGTATTGTTTTAATAAGAATTGTCATGGATGTAAAATTGTGATCTTCAAAGAAAGTCCAGCTCTTAGACGAATGAAGTCATGTAAAAAGTGAGTTTTTTCCTGAAATATAATGGAACAGAAGTGTGGTTTTTGTGTTACCATTTCAAAGCCAGCAGATGGATGATAATGTCCCAACACCCAAACACAGTTCCACTGTGTCTCTGCCACAGCCTCCCTGGCTACCATTCAATCATTGTACATACAGTAGATGGCACACAGAACAGCAATAGAAGCCAAGTGAAGTCTACTTTGTGTGGAGTCATAGCTAAACAGAATCTGATGATAGAGAATGACCATTACAAAACACACTCCTCCCTGATCTGATATGAAGGGGATGAGATTGAGACACACCGGCTATGACGTCAAAGCTGCTCTGCTCGTATGCAGTCATTCAGCACATTTGTCATCCCACCCAAAACTTTTAAAGCCTCAGTCTCTTATGTGTTGTACTGGTGCAAATAATGAAGAACAAATGTTTGGCGATGACTAATGTGAATATGGCAAAGTTTAGATAATCCTAGTTTGTTCAGTTTGACCTTTTCCTGTTGAGCTTTATGGAGACATTTATATAAGGGAATTGCAAGGTTCACTTTTAGTATCCTGTCCTAATACCTTTAAAGGCTGTGGCCCAAAGACCTTCTGTATGTGAACTGGAATGGCACTGCACCACCCAGCTGGGACCTCAGCTTGCAATAAGCCAGCTGTGAATGTGCTCATGTCTCTGAGACTTGGCTTTGGCACAGCACACCGATGAGGGAGTCTGTATCTGGGACTCCAAATGCTCTCAGCCTCAAGACATTCAATATAAAAAAAAACAAGCCAAGCCAAGCCAGTACTTACTGGTAAATGTGTGAGAACACAGAAGCATAAGACACACATGTTCACATAAATGATATGTCTTGCATGCTTATTGACATTGCCAGTCCCAGAAAGTGGTGGAGATGCCAGTGACCAATGTTTTGCAACAGAAACCCAGCCTAAATTAACTTTGGTTTTGTTAATTTATTTTCTCACCACTGAGCACAGAAATTAACCACCCAGTGTCTCACACAAAAGAGGCATAAAGGAAGTTTGCACCAATAACACCAGGATGTGTTCTAAGGTGTTTCCTTCAAGTGTACTACTTTACATGATTGAAGTTGAGCATACAAATAGGTCTATGTTTTAAAAAATTATCTACATTTGCAGAGTTGAAATTTCATCACTTTACAAGTTATAAAATGTAATAATTCAAATCTGTTTTCCATTGGACTTTTGAGTTTCATAATCACAGTTTCAGCTAGCTCTCTTTCTGGACAAGGCATCATAAATTGAATTCTCCAGACAACAAATGTAATAAAACATCTTAGAGGTTAAAATGGCCAATGACAGTGGTACAGAGTATCTATCTATCTATCTATCTATCTGTCTGTCTGTCTAATCATTGTCTCGTACTTTATAAATGAGTCATGCCATAATTAGCATGATCTTTCCCTTTCTGGGGACTGGTAATTATAGCACTTAATGTAATATCTCATCTCTAATGTTTCATTAGCAAAGAACACTGGGGAGTTTTTATATTAAGCTAAAATCCCAAAGTACAAGTCATGTAGTTTCTCTAAACCCAGAGTGACACAACAGTTCTCATAAAAACTGCTTGCAAATATGGTGACTACCCAGATATTTAGGGTACATAATGAGGCTCAGATATGGTGGATTAGCAGCCTCTGTAACACTTTTAGTTGCTTGTTATGGTTCCTTTTATGCCTCCACCATTCGAACACACACGTCTCTTTTGCATTAGCTGCTGCAACCTTTTCTTTTCTGAACTCCTTTGTCAAGTACAACTAAATTAGAATATAGTAACACAAAAGTCAATTCAAATTCAAACATATGCTTTACAAACTACTCACAAACGACTTGTTGTTGTGAAGGAAGCACATACTAGTTTATACAGCAGTCTTGCCATTAACTGTAAAGCTGTTATAGTACTACTATACATTAGCTCTGATCTCAGAGTACCTCACTGATGTTACTATGGTGCAGTAGATGGTCACAGCTATGGTTTAAAGTTTCTGTCAGGAGTTTCTGTGTCCCCACACTGGAGCCGTGTATGTTTGTAATTTCACCCTGTGTACTGGGCCTTTGGCAATCTTATGTAATTGGCTCCAGAGGATTGGAGGGTCCAACGCAGGGGCAGAGAGGATGTGCCCAGGGCAGGCTGGGACTTTAGAATATACAGCAAGGACACACCATGCACTCTCATGCATTTCTGCAGGGTTTGAATGACTGACAGATGTGGCAAAAGAGAGAACAAGTGAGATACAGAGAAAAAAACAGTTTGGGTCATCCCAGCTTTTAAGAACTCCAGTGATAAAGTGTGTTGCATGTTGCTCCACTCCCAGCCTTGCCATTCTTCAGACAATCTGGTTGGCTAAGAAAATGTTCAGGAGGCCACACAGATCCCCTTTGCTCATGGCTGATCACAAAGCCATGTGAGCTTTTCTGCTCTCTCTGCTGTCCTATAGCAACAGAGGAGATTGAGAGAAAAGGGCTCAATTTGGAATTGCCAGACTGTGGAGAGGGTGGGTACCAGTGAAACTGCTAGGTAGCCTGACAGAGAAGAATTGTAGCCTTAAATGTATGTGCCAAATATATTCAGTGGGGAAAATAAAGGCAAGAGTAGAAAGAGCAATAAATAAAAGAAGAAAAGGAGTAGAAGGCAAAAGTATGACATGGAGGCAGACCTGCTGTGTACAGCACATCATTTTTGGACCCTTTTATGTTTAATGGTCTTGCATTAAACAAGTATGTAAACCAAAAACAGAAAGTGACTACACATCACTTCTTTTACAAATATCTGTGTATGCATCTGTGTGTGGGTGTGGATGGGGAGACATGTTCAGGCCAGTTACAGAGATCAAAATTAAGCCCAACAAACAATATTGAACTTATGAACATTAATTCTGACTTCAAAGCCTAATAAAGGGATTATATAAACAGAAACAATGAAATAGACCATAAAAACTACAATGAATCAGAGTTCATTCACATACCAAATCTGTGAGTCTTGCACAGTGGAAGTGAAGCAAAAAATTGTTGTTTCACTCTCTGTTTCAAATGGGGATAAATGTATATGTGATCATTTTCAATGATGTGTTATTTTGACTGTTGCATTTCTCACATAAATCATTTTACTTCTACTTCTGTCTAATATGCACATAACTAATAATTATCTGCAATTTTGCTTGCTGTATACTTCATTCTCCCAAGGGAGAGGAGGGAGTCTTTCATAAATGTGTTAAGGGCGAGCCAGTATAGAGCTGTGCACGGTGATGGGCTGGGAGGAGGAGGAGGGGTCTCACCCATTCAAGACTATAATAAAAGGCACTTCTCTGGACCTCTGAGGATCCCAGACGTTCCAGTACCACCATAGGCAGCTGCTGCAAAAAGACAGACAGAAAGAGGGGCAGCTAAATGAATAAAAATTGAAAAAGAGGAAAAATTTGTCCCAGTTAATATTCAGCTCTCTTTAAATATTTACAGCTTAGAAAACTTAGAAAAAGTTTGTTTTTTTTAAGCTTTATATCTACAGAGGGCACTTTGTGTAAAAAAAGAGAGAAAATGATGAGTTTTCTGTGCATCACAATAATCTCCTTGATGCTGGTTGCTGGTGCGAACAGTCATCCTTTCATTGGTGACTTACAAATCCCAGGTAAGATTACATTTTTGTGAAAAAGTGTTGAGATTTTAATATGTGAGTGATTGTGTGTGTCTGTTACTGTCTCTTTGTGTGTGTGTGTGTGTGTGAAGAGGAGCAAGGTGGGCTGTGAGGGACCTGTGAAAAGTGATACCACAACACAGGCTTGTGAAACAACAGGGTCATTGTAGCTGTAGGTACCAGAGATGTGTCTGGGGTAACACACACATTCACAGACACAGTGTGGCTCACCATTAACTCATTGACTTGCTGCATACAGACCACCACAGCATGGACTGGCTGGTGAATAAATCACCCTGCCATTCACAGATTCTCCCTGTGCACACTACTGAAAGAGAAAGAGGACCACACCACTGATACTACTGGCTGGACTCTTAAAATGGGTCATTGTGCCACAGTAGTTGAAGTTGGGCTAGTGGTGATTCTTTTTATTTGGATGCAAAAATGGGATTTTCCCGCAGTAAAGCTTAGACCTTCAGTGATTTTATTCATTTTCTGTCTTCTTCTGTTGCAGACAGAAAATAAAAACAACTTGTCAGGGATCACCTGCCCTCCATCATGAACCTGTTATAATTCTAAAGTCACTCTT